GGTGGCCAGGAGTTAGGTCATGTAGGACTTTGTGGGCCACATGAAGACTGGCCTGATCCTGGCTGATGGGAAACCCTAAGATTTGGAGTAGAAGAGTGATACGACCTGACCTGAATTTTAGCAAGATCTCTGGCCTCTCTGTGGACCAGTTGCTGTGAAGTGGGGAAGGCTGGAGGAGGCAGACATCAGTTAGGAAGCTGTCAATATTTAATCTAGGTGAAAGATGACAGTGACTTGGACCAAGATGGTGACACTAAATGAGGCACAGAGAGATGAATTTCTAGACAGGTTTCTAAGTAGAAATGACATATGTAGCTGATAGCTTGAAGGAAAGTTGTGCGAAAGAGAGGAGTCACAAAACAGTCCAGGGTTTTGGTCTCAGCCACTAGAAAACTGGCTTTGCCATTTACTGATTTGGAGAAGACCATGGAAAGGAAGTTTGGGGGTGGGAATTATGAGTTTAATTTGGACATACTAAATTTGAGATGATGCCAATTATATCCAAGTGAAGCTGAGTAGGCAGAGTGTGTGTGTGTGTGTGTGTGTGTGTGCGCGCGCGCGCACGCGTGTAGGTGTCATCAGCATTTGGGAGCATTTGAAACTGGGTGAAGTCACCAAGAGAAGGAATGTTAAGTAGATAAACAGTATGAGAAATGATCTGGGCTCCTAATCAAATAGCAGTCAGGAGAACCAGGGAATGAGCAGTCAATGAGATACGAGAATCAAGAGGGAGAGGCTTTCCAAAAGCTAAACTGTTAAAAAAGAAAAAAAGTTTCAAGAGGGAGTAACTGTCAGAGGTTTCAGATAAGGCAGTAAGACAAGATTTGAGAATTAACCATGGAGGTCATTGCATTCCTTAACAAGAACGGTTTCTATGGAGTAACAGAGATGAAAGCCTAAATTGGATTTATTCAAGAGAACACAGGAAGAGAGAAACTGGACACAGTGTGAACAGATAATTCTTTCAGGACTGGTAAAATAAAGGAGGACAAAGGGGCGTGCAGGGAGATGCAACGTCAAGATTTTTCCTCTAAACCTGGGATATAAATATAAATATGTATGTTTATATGGCTGCTGGTGGTAATTCAGTAGTGAGTGAAAATTCAGAAGAAGGGGAATTGCTGGACCAATGAATGTCCTTCAGTAGGCAAGAAAAGATGAGATGTAATGTGCAGTGGAGAGGCCAATCCTGGAGAGGAATGCAGACAGACACTCCTTCATAGGAGTGCAGGGAAAGCAGAGCTTGTGAGCACAGATGCAGGGAGTTGGGTAGCTGTGATGTCTGGACATAGGGAAGTTCTCTTCTCATTGCTTTTGGTTTCTCAACGAAATAAGAAACTTAGTCATTATATGGGAGTGAGAAACCTGAGGAAGTGGAAATTTGAGGTTAGAGAGGAAGGTTTAACATAGTCCTCTAGGGAAATGGAAATCAGATGGATTAGGGCAATGTGGATGGATTGCCAGACCCCATTAGGAGTCCCTTTGAGGTTAGTGACCATAAATTTAAGGTGAAAATAGGCAGTGGGATTGTGTGCTTTTGTCCAGCCATGGTCAGCCACTCTGGTAGAGTTGCAGAGTGGGTAGAGAATTGGATTTAACCAGGATGGCGGTTTGGCCAGGTGAAAGCACTGAAGGGAGAGGCGGGAGAGCCGATTTTGCATGCACGGGGTGAGTTCAATGGTGGCCCATGGGATTTAATCTGAGTAAGACAAATGACGACATGCTGGGATTTTAGTTTCTGATGCAGCTTAAGGATCCGTGAACTTAGGGTTTTGGAGGATATTGACAAGCCAAGAGGTGATCAGTTAGGGAGTAGAAAATCCTGAAATTGCAGTTCTGGAGTGGGTGCAGGTACTGATGATAGGGTCTAGAGCTGTGATTCTCAGCAGGTGCGATTTCACCTCTGAGGAGGCATTTGCAGTGTCTGGAGATATTTTTGGTTGTCACAGCTGGAGGCAGGGGAGATGCTGTTGTTAACTACCAGAGGCCAGGGGTGCTGCTCAACATCCTACAAGGCACAGTACAGTTTCCCACAACAAAGAATTATCTGTCCCAATTGTCAGAAGTGCTGAGGTTGAAAAGCCCTGGTTTAGGGTAGGATAACAGAAAAACTTCAGCCAAATTGAATTTGAAGGAGTTTAATTGAGCATCGAACGAATCGCGAATTGGGCAACCTTCTGAGCCAAGGTAGGCTCAGAGACGCCACGTGGTAGAAGATTTATGGGCAGAAAAAGGAGAATGACATACAGAAAACTAGAGTGAGGTACAGAAACAGCTGGATTGATTATAGCTTGGTGTTTGCCTTATTTGAGCACAGTTCGAACAGTTAGCTACATTTAATTGGCCAAAACTTGGTAATTGGCACAAGGTCATTGGCTACAGCCTGTTTATACCTACATTTGTTATAGTTCATAGTGTACAGAAAAACCCTTAGGCCGAACTTAAAATACGTAAGGAGGCAGCTTTAGGCTAAACTTGATTGAACAGGTATGGCCATAAGACATGAGTGGCTGGGGTAGGCCTGATCTTATGTAACCGGATTATAGGAGAAGATAAACGGACTAGGGTTTTAGAAAGTTTATCTTACGACTGGTGAAATCTCCAAAAATGATGACAAGAGTAGTATTAGAGGAAAGCCCAGGGATGAGAGGAAGTTCATTTCCCTGTGTATGGAGTCATTTTCTTTTTCTTGAGCTAGCTGATTGGCTAGCATTGGATTTCACAATCCTGGCTAAGAGCTACATTTTCAAATTAGCCAATGAATGTTGTGTGTTTTTTTTAAAAAGCCGCCTGTTTATTAACCAGCTTTGGTGTAACAAAATCTCTGTCTTAAATAGATGCCTAAAAGCCGTTTGGGAATTTGGTTAGTCTTTTTGCTCAAAATTCTGTGACTGTAAACTTGGATACTTGGTCTAGTTCCATCTTTGTGTCCCAGGATGACAGTTCTTGCAACCAGGCCTTGAGGCAGGGATCTGGTTTAAGAAAATCCTTGAGAAACCTTAATTATAGACTTTAGAGACCGTAGCTTTCCAGTGCTTACCACCATGGAGAAAACTAGTCAAAATCACACAGAGTGAATAAGGGTTGCAAGCCAGTGCTACTTCCTGGAATAAGCTGCTCCACTAGTCTAGTCTTGTGCTTTGTCCTTCATTTTGAACTCAAGTGCCCTGAGGCTGCTTTTCTGCCTACCCACAATAGCAAGGAACTCTTTTGTTTGCATCTCCTCTGAAAGAAATGCTTGTTTTGAGGTTTGGACCACAAATAATAATCTATTGTTCCCTGTAATAATAATCCACCCTCTTTAGCAGAAAAAAAATCTGTTTGATGCAGTATGGCTATCAGTTTATTTAAAAGAATAGCCAAAAATGCCCATTGTGTTCTGAGAATAAACATTTGCAAGATGGTTGGGAGGAATGGGGGAGTATTCTTTCTCTCCTTGGCTGAGAGTCAGTTAAGTCCTCAAGGAGAAAAAATTCTGTAAATGACCATCAGTCCTGGCTGACAATACTCTTCCTTATTCTACCCGTCTGTTGCATTCTGAGAATAATTGCAACACTGCAGATATTTATTTCTTGCAGAAATAGATGCAAACTATTTCTTTTAAAAATATCGAAGGTGGGTATTCTTAAAAATTTTAGGCCAAATAAGCTTTTTTTTTTTTTTCTGACTTTTATTTTGTCTGTGAAAGCATTTCTTTTATAGCAGTAAAAGTATGTTCAAATTAGCAATCTTTAACAATTTAGCAAATATTTTTAGTAGTAGTCCTTAACAGTTCTTGCAGCTGCCTATGATTGCAGATCTTGAAAAAAAAAAAAGCCATTTTTATATTCCAAGTGGTAGACACATTTTAATTACTGTTTCCTGGGCTTAGGCTAAATGACAAAACTTGATGGGTGAAGTGACAATGTGATATACAGTGCAATCAGCTGTTTCTTAAGTACATACTTACCTGGCACACTGAAATCTTATGGTAGGTATGATTTCACTAACAAAACCAAAATATGCATTTTCTACCTTAAGTTCTTTATAGGAAAAAGATCGGTTAAAGAATAAACATGGCTTTAAAATGAAGTTATAGCTTAGGATAGTTTTAATTGCTTTACATATGGATGATAAAAGTTCAGTGTGATCACAATTGCAGCATAACAGATGAGCATGAGAACAACTTAAAGACGTAAAAATACGTCTATTACGTCATTAAAAATAGATCATCAGGGAAGCCACCAAGAAGTCCTTCAGTAGGTGAATGAATAAAGTGTCGTAAATCCATACAATTGTATGTTATTCAGCAATAAAAAGAAAGGAGATACCATGTCACAAAAACACATGGAAGAAACTTAAATGCATATTACTAAGTGGAAGAAGCCAACCTGAAAAGGCTACATGCTGTCTGATTTTAACTAGGTAACATTTGAGAAAAGGCAAACCTATAGAGACAGTGTAAGGCCAGTGTTTGCCAGGGGTGTAGGGGAAAGAAGGGCAGGAATAAATTGGTGTAGCACAGGAGACGCTTAGGAAGTGAAACTATTCTGTATGATTCTGTAAAGGTGGAGATGTCACTATACACCTTTGTCAAAATCCATGGATCTACAATGCTAACATGAACCCTAATGTAAACTATGGACATGCCAGATGTTAATAATAAGAGAAACAGGGTGGCTGGGAGGAGTGAGGGGATATGAGAATTTTACTTTCCATTCAATGTTTCTGTAAACCTAAAACTGCTCTTTTTAAAAGTCTATTAATTTAAAAAAATATATTCAATATAGCCAAACTAGTAAAAATGCCTTAACTAAAAAGCAATACAAACTTAAACTATCAGCAATTGTTCTGTTTGTAGGAAATACTTAGCTATAGAATATTCTGCCAGAAATATATAATGGCAGTGAATTACTGTATATATCTAGGAACTTTCCTGTATCTTTTCTTGTCTGGCAAAAATGCACAGTGCTATTCATGCTAAGTCCTACTTTTAACTACCCTTATTCCTTTCTCTTCAGTGATAGCTGGAGTATCAGGCTTGGAAGTATATACACCAAAAGAACTCTTCGTGGCAAATGGTACACAAGGGAAACTGACCTGCAAGTTCAAGTCTACTGATACGACTGGCAGGTTGACCTCAGTCTCCTGGAGCTTCCAGCCAGAGGGGGCTGACACTGCCGTGTCGGTAAGAATGCTTAACTGCTCTTGGCTGGTCCTACCTCACAGGTTTCTTTACTGCTGTATAATTAGTGATCCATTCTTCCGATTGCTCATTTCCAAAATGAATGTATTTGTTATCTATTATAGACTTCAAGGCTCTTCTCTTGCTTCAAACTTTCCAGGATAAAATAAGTTCTGCATCTCTTAAATGCAGCTGGTTTCCTTGTCTTTGCATGCGATTCTCCCCTTGCCATCCCCTCAGTTCGTCTCCACCATCAAATCCCATTCTGAAACTGATCTTAATTTACCACAGTGACTCTAATCAGGATTTATCCTGCATCTTTTTATATTTCATTGCCCCATTTGTATTGGTATTTATTTTATGTATTCCCAAATTATATATACATACACCTTATATGTGCCTTCTGATTTGATTTTTTTTTTAATTTAACATATAGTCCTTCTGATTTAGCATTATTGATTGGGATCTTACTATGTAGTAGGTTATGTAGGGCCTTCAAAAATGCCTAAAACAGAATCCTTGCTCTCACCCAGAGATGATTAAGAGGAAGGCTGATATATAGATGACTTTGGAGTAAGATGAAGGATGTAACAGAAATATAGCACCAGAGGGTTGAGAAAAAGGTTAGTTAGTAACTAGTGGAGTGCTGGTTATGCAGTGGGTGTTTATTAAACATGAACTGACTATACTGGTTCTTGTCTGTAAAATGGAGATGATAAAACCTCGCACACAGCAGTGTTAGGATAAAGTGAGATTATACAAGATAAGTTCTCAGGAGAGGGTCTAGCTCTTGAGTTACTAATCTACATAATTTGTTGTTACTGTTGCTCTCCCAGCATCTTGAATGCTCTTCAAACATTGGCACATATTTTAGCACTGTTGCTGCACATTTCAGGTTGTCAGTACTTGGCAAGGACAGTCTGTCATCTATCTTTAAGAATACCGAACTCTTCTTCTGAATAGTTACATTTGTTGATCACCACGTAGGTGCCGGGTCCATCATATGCCTGTGCCATTTAATCTTCACAACTCTATGAGGAAGACGGGGTGGGGAAGGTCAGACACTGACTCGAGAGTTACTCACCCATGGCCACACCACACAGGTTAGATTTGTTTAAACTTCAATACCGTATGATTTCCCTTACATATTATTTCTCAGGTAGAAAAATATGCTAATAATATTTACTGCCTCATAGGTTTTAGGGATTACCTAGGGCAGTACTTCTCAGTGCTTTTTACAATTTATTTTTAAAAGGAGCCTTTTGACATTTTTTCTTAATCTTTGCCCCCTTCCATGAAATTTTATTGTTGTAGATACCCTCTGTATCTGTTTTACATATAAAAGAGTATGATTTTCTCAAACCTTTTCACCAAAGCGCCAGTGTTTGCCCCCTTGGGGGAGAATCTCCCCTATGGAGAATGCATAGTCTAGAGGCCTTTTTTTTTTTTTCTTGAGATGGTGTCTTGCTCTGTCACCCAGACTGGAGTGTGGTGGCACAATCTTGGCTCTCTGCAACCTCTGCCTCCTGGGTTCAAGTGATTCTCCTGCTTCAGCCTCCCAAGGAGCTAGGACCACTGGCGTGTGCCACAACACCTGGCTAATTTTTTGTATTTTTAGTAGAGATGGGGTTTCACTGTGTCACCCAGGATGGTCTAGATCTCCTGACCTTGTGATCCGCCCGCCTCGGCCTCCGAAAGTGCTGTTATTACAGGTGTGAGCCACCACCCCCAGCTGTCTAGAGGTCTTTATATGAGAGGCCCTCCCTTCCAGTAGCCATAAGGGTGAGCACAGAATCCGTATCATGGAAGACATGCAAAGGCATTCTCCTGCTTCACATAAATATGGCATCAGCATAGAACATACACTAATGTTCCCATAGAGGCAAGATTAAACACATAAGTTTACTCAAGAGAGGCCAAAGAACTATTTTTTTTATTTTTTTGAGACAGAGTTTTGCTCTTGTTACCCAGGCTAGAGTGCAATGGCGCGGTCTCGGCTCACCGCAACCTCCGCCTCCTGGGTTCAGGCAATTCTCCTGCCTCAGCCTCCTGAGTAGCTGGGATTACAGGCACGCACCACCATGCCCAGCTAATTTTTTGTATTTTTAGTAGAGACAGGGTTTCACCATGTTGACCAGGACGGTCTCGATCTCTTGACCTCGTGATCCACCCGCCTCAGCCTCCCAAAGTGCTGGGATTACAGGCGTGAGCCACCGCGCCCGGCCCCCAAAGAACTATTTAAACTTGAAAAGATTTCCCACTGAAGTCTTCTGCAAGAGTGGGTGTGAGGGCCATTATTGAAGTCCATAGAAAATCAGGCAATCATCAGGCAGACACCCAAAGGTGATAACCTTCTTTTAAAGAGCGGTTCCATTATGCTGGAAACATTCTTGTGATGTGGGTCCATGGATGTTTACATAACTCAAGACTTTATATTAAAAACATGCTGCCGGGTGCAGTGGCTCACGCCTGTAATCCCAGCACTTTGGGAGGCCGAGGTGGGTGGATCACGAGGTCAAGAGATCGAGACCATCCTGGTCAACATGGTGAAACCCCGTCTCTACTAAAAAATGCAAAAAATTAGCTGGGCATGGTGGCGTGTGTCTATAATCCCAGCTACTCAGGAGGCTGAGGCAGGAGAATTGCCTGAACCCAGGAGGTGGAGGTTGCGGTGAGCCGAGATTGCGCCATTGCACTCCAGCCTGGGTAATGAGCGAAACTCCATCTCAAAAAAAAAAAAAAGAACATGCTGTATTTCTGATTAATATTTTTAGCTAATAAATTTATACTTACGAGTCTGATTACAGTTAATCCCAGCATGTTCAGTTATTGACATAGGATCTTTTAATTTCAAAATATTGGGGACACATTTAATGGGATGAGCCGGTTGCTTTTTGTTTTCATAGATTTTACAGGAAAAGTATATTCAAACCCACTATATTCAAAAGCCATAATATAGTTGGCTTTTCTGGCCCATGGCCTTGGGATCCATGTGTCTGAAACTGAACTCATTTTTTCTCCCCTCTGTTTCTCTTTTCTGCTTATTTTTTTAGGGTAGTTGTGTTCTTCTAGAGATTAGTTTTGTGATCATTTTTGTTTTGTTTTGTGTTTTCTGGCCTTTCCTTCCCTATCCCTTACCACATCCCTTCTGTCCCCAAGAATTAAGAACCTTGCTGGTTCTTCCTACTTTGGTTCTGGTGTCTAGCTTTTTGTCAGCCTTCCTGCGTCTCTGCTCTCTATTCAGCGACGTTAACTGTGTGTCTGGTCTTGTGCAGTAGCCCTTGTTGTTCTTCTGCTTCTGTTTTTTCATCTTTCAATCCAACCCTTATATGCCAGCAGGTGCGTAGTCTTAGAACAGTTTAACCTTGCTGCTGCAGGTTGTCAGAAACCTAGATCCCTGCTGCTGACAACACTTGTCTAGAATTAAAAGCGCATTATACTTTGGCTCAGCCTGTCACTTTAGCCTCGCTTCTGTTCTCTTATAGAATCATTTCCAGTGTAGTAAAAATGCTTTGCACTTTGTTTTTCTACTTCTGAACACTTGCCATTTAAGCTGTACCCCATCTTTACCTTCTTACTCCTCCATAAGGTCTCCTTTTTTTTTAATTAAAAAAAAAACAACCTTTTAGCCCTTAAAACTCACTACCCTTATCTGGGCCACTCCTATAATACAGATCCCTTAATATGACAATTTTCCTCTTCTTCATCCTGAATATAGGTATTTTCAGAGGACATGCCTGTCTCACATCATTAGTGTTCCTTACAGCTTTAGCACCATGGCTTGTACTTTAAAAATATTAATTGATAATGATTTCTAGTCTTTTCTGTGAATTTTTCACTATTTTATTTTCATCTCTCACTGGTTTGACCAAGGCATTATTCCTCAGTTTGGTTCAGCAAACTATATAGTTCCTGCTATGTGCTAAATGCTAAGGAGAGATACATACAACTTATCCCCTGCCTTCAAACGGCCCCCAGTCAATCAGGGAGCCGTCTTGGACCAAGTGGTGGGAAACAGCATCGCGTAGCTTATCCCCTCTGCTTCAGAAATGCAGGGCAGGGAATGTGTAGAGATGTGGGATGGGAAGGCAGAGACCAGATGATAGAAGGATTTGTTTGCAAAACTGAAAGTTTATGGTTCATTTTCTGGTGAAGAAGAAAGAGTGAAGGACTTAGAACAGATAAGACATGATCTCACATGAGAGACATTAAACATGGGAAATAGTATAAGCGTTGAAATCAAAGCTGGATTTGAAGTCCATCTCTAGACCTGTGACTTTTGGAAAGTCACCAAGGCTTCCTGAGCCTCGTGTTTCCTATTTGTGAAATATCAGGTAGGCGAATCTCACCTTGCAGGGTGGTTATGAGGGTTAGAGAGTTGTTGAGAGACAGTTTTCCATGGGTTTTTCATGTTTTTGCACACCTTGCTAGCAAAGGCACTGGCTGCCTTTGTTCTGGACTTTTTTCGAGCAGTAACTAGCCTTGGAAGACAGAGATGATGTTTCCCTCTGGAGCAGAGGACAGATTTGTTTACTCTTTAGTATATAAAGATAGCGTCTCCCTTCAGGGCTAAAGTCAGACATGTTTTCTGCCCCTTGTAAGAGACTTGTGTTCCCTGAACTTGGGATTCCTCAGCTGTGATGCAGTGCCCCTGCTTGTACAACATCCATGTGAGCCCCTCCCTGTCATCACTGTGGGACTTGAGGGGTAAGGGGAACAAACACGTTTGTTTATGAGTCTTCTTAATGGGAGTGAAGATTTCACAGGAGTCCATGTCTTCTGTCAGCATCTATGAACCCGTGGCCAACTAACTTTGTTACCTTGCAAGTAGGGTAAAATCTCAGACCCTTCATGGTTCTTAACAAGTATTTAAGTCATATGAAATACAGGGCAAGTATTTTTATAAATGTTAATAATGATAACAATTATTGTTTATCAATGATCATTTAGGCATTGTGGAGGATGATGAGTTAGCCATACCAGTTAAGAGGCCATAGTCCAAGATGATGAAAGCGTAAAAGCAGATATTGTCAGAGGGAACTGAATAGAGAGAAGAGAGAACTAAGAGAAACTAATGAGACAGATTGACAATATTGGGGGATTAATTGGATGGGAAGAAAGAGAATGAAGGATTACTCCAAGATTTATGGTATAGGAAAGAAACAGTAGCCATCAGTGAAGACAGGATACATGAAGACAGGAAGATGAAGTTTGTAGGAAAAGATGACAAGTTTGGGGGAGAAGGGCAGCCAGGTGGTAAAGTGAGTAGGCAATTGGGCAAGGAGTCTAGAGCTTAAGGAATGTGATCGATGGAGAGAGAGATTTAGGAGTAAGAAAATCTAGATGATCATTAAATCATGGGAATGGATGAGCCTGCACTGGGGTTTTCAGCGTGCTCAAAGGGTTCTGAAAATATTCTGTAGGAATTGCTAATGAAACTGGTTTCTACCCTCAGCCCCACCATCACCCCTTCCAGAACCAGAACAAACACATCAGGCCTCCAGGATAGCTGCTTGGATTAGAGCTGAGTGTGAGGATAGATCCCCTCCCACTGGGCCTTAACTTGCTTCCAGGGTGCTGAGTTTGACAAGGTGTACTTTGAGAAAACAGTTCCTTTGCTGAAAGCAGGACTGAGGAGAAAGTGAGGAGTGGAAAGAGAAAGAGTCCAAAGGCTGAACTTTCAAAAGCCGGAAAGAGTATCTTGTGTTATCTGGGTTTTGTTCCTTTCACACACCCATGACCTTTCCATAGCAAACCGGAAGGAAGAGGGAGAAAGCCACAGATTAACTGATCTGTGGTATGTAAGATTCTTTTCCTTTGTGCCTCTGTGTATCTTAGTGGTAAGCTAAGTGAACACTAAGCTTTCTGAAGCCTTGGGAATCACTGGGCTCAATCATGGTGTTATTGGAAGAGCATTGGCTTTGAAGACTCAGATGGGTCTAAATTTTACTCTGGGTCCCCAGCTTACTATCATTGGGACCTTGGGAAAATGACTTCTCTATGTCTCCATTTTGTCTTTTATAAAATTATGGGTGATAATAATTATATCAGTAAAATATTGAGAGGATTAGTGGTGGTATATGAGTCTGATTCTTCCATTAAAACCTGGCAGAGTTGAGCCCCATGATCTCTAAACTTCTTTCTGGCTTGGATTCCATAACTTGTGATTTGTAATGTGCTGTTACATTTCTTTCAGTACGAAGTCTTTAAAAGAACCTTTCATAGCATGCACATTACGGAGTTTAGGAATTCTGCCTTTGAGAATAGTTCATTTGTTCCTTTTTTCTAATTGCAGTTTTTCCACTACTCCCAAGGGAACGCGTACCCTGGGAATTATCCACCATTTAAAGACAGAACCAACTGGGCTGGAGACCTTGACAAGAAAGATGCCTCAATCTACATAGAGAATATGCAGTTTATACACAATGGCACCTATATCTGTGATGTCAAAAACCCTCCTGACATCGTTGCCCAGCCTGGACACATTAGGCTCTATGTCATAGAAAAAGGTACTTCCGTGGGTATTTTGGCAGTAATAATGGAGTCTCCTTTATCTCATGTTCGGTTGGAGGACAAGAGTGTCATTTCAAGGTGGGTTTGGAGGGAGGATTTTTGCGATACAGTTGTGCTCTCTGTTGCCATGAACCTGTGGCTCTACCAAACAGAGTTGGGGAGCTGTTGCTCATTCTGACCTAGAGTAGTGGGTTTCTCCATTTTTATTCCTACTGTCTGGAGCCGTTGGTCTAATTTCAGGAGTATTAATTTTTCAGTTTTAATTAGAAGAAAGACCAAATTCATTATGTTTGGATGTGATGGGTAGTGGAAAGAAGGAGATTAATACTGTTTTATATTCTCCAGGAGAAAGATGACATTTTCAACAACAGCACAGTTTTTTATTCTTTTTGATTTTGAGAAAGAACAGGAAATGCAGGTTCTGGTGTCTCATTTTTGAGACAAAGCCTGCTTTGTTGGAGAGTAGATCGAGGTAAATTCACACCTCCAGTTTTTCTTTAGAGCACTTTAGAGGGATTGTGGGTATAGAAATGCTTAGTTCCATATTTCATTCTTTCTCATCTAATATTCGTGTGTCATGAATTAGTAATAGGATAGATAGTAGGATCTCATAATTTGGATAATAAAAGAGGGCATGGTAACTGCTAAAGGAAGATACTTGCTTGTTAATTTAATAAAAATCCATGTTTCTGTCTGTAGCAATGTACCTTAAAACCATTTTGTTCTTTCTCTCTAGAGAGTTTGCCTGTGTTTCCAGTTTGGGTAGTGGTGGGCATAGTTACTGCTGTGGTCGTAGGTCTCATTCTGCTCATCAGCATGATTCTGGCTGTCCTCTATAGAAGGAAAAACTCTAAACGGGATTACACTGGGTAAGAAACACTGTTTTTTAGGGCAGGGGTAGAGGGAGGGAATCAGGGTTTATAAAAACTTGTATTTAATGAAAAAAGGATTTTGAAGAATTAACTACTGTTTTCTTTCATGTCAGAATCAGGCAGTCTTCTTAAGAGGTGTTCTAACATGGGCAAGCAGAAATCAGTGGGCCTGCTATTAAATGTGGAATATGATTCTAATCTCTATTCCGGTTTCGTTCTTAGGTTTGGTGAGATGAGTTGCTCAGCAGTCTGTGCTCTGTATTTCAGTACTATCCACTATGCAATTAATATTCTTAAGACATCACTTACCTAATTTAAGAATTTAATTTCAATTTCTTGGTAATAAACTCAAAAGGTGGTTCTTTCCAGTTGGGTAAATATTAAACCATAATTAAGAAGTTGTGAGCTGGAGGTAGTGGCATGCACCTGTAGTCCCAGCTACTCAGGCTGAGGCAGAAGGATTGCTTGAGCACAGGAATTTGAATCCAGCCTAGGCAACATAGCAAGACCCTGTCTCTTAAAAAAAAAAGAAGAAGAAGATGAAGAGAAAGAAAGAGAGAAGAAAAAGAAGTGGTTTTGGTAAACTACCTCCCCCAGCCCAATGTGATGATAATGCAGGGCTTTTCCTTTTTGTAATTCCCCTACCCCACTCCAAGCTTAAGTAGCTTTATTGCTTTGATCATTCTTAGCTAGATTCACCCAAAATGGGTTAATAAGAGTTGATAACAAAATATATCAGCAATAAAGAAACGCAGACTTCCTTTTAGTTTATGGCTTCTCAAAAGGAACAGGTTTGAGCATAGGGTGTGTGTCTAATTAAAGGACCTTCTCTTTTCCCCACTCCAGCTGGAAAGCTAACCCATGTAAGCTATGTAGAACTGACGTGGTAAGACTGGGAGCGAAGGCTGGATTCAAGTTGATGTAGCATGAGCAGTGTTGCAGATACACAGATCTAACTTTAACCATCCTGAAGGGACTGTGACGTGAAAGGATTGCATGTCCTGAACTCTTTCGCTGGTGGATGGTGGAAACCTCTATCTATGGGCTTTTCTGATCTAGAGTTTTTAGGAGTGCTGTGTTTTAACAAGTTTGAGTGTTCAAATTCAGATATTACTTGCTTGGAATGCTTCTGTTCTGCTGACTATATCTGCCCCCTTGCATGGTGAGTGTTTTATGATTAAATATAGCTGGACTGTTGGTTTTGGTTTTCAACATGAGACTAATCCAGGGTGGTGACATGCCGGTGTTTGTAGTTCTTGCTTTGGGGTTAATGAGGCGCAGGAAAGAGTTCCTTAGACTCCTGCATGGCATCATGAATGCTGCTGTTCTTACTTTGGTTTTTTTCCTCCTTCCCTACCTTTTCTACCTTGGTGTGCTGGGATCAGATCCTGCTTATCTTCCACTTCTTAAGAAAAGCTGACGTAGAAGACACATTGGGACTATAACAGGGCTGGGTCTCCTCTTCCACTCCCACTAGACACATGGTAACTAATCACATTGCCCGTTGCCGTTAATATTCCTCTGTACGTATTCAGTCCCTCTCCCTTGTTGATGACTAACCAGCTAGCTCTGAGCTAACCCAACAGCTGTTATGATTTGTCCATGAATATGTCACTTTTTTGTACTGGAAACATGTCGAGCATACCTCCCGGATGAAATGGGGTTGTCAAGTTACATAGAGGTTTTATGCACATCTGAATATATGTGCTCTTTGTGTAAAATGCCATTGTGTATGTGTGTGTGTGTGTGTGTGTGTGTGTGTGTGTGTGTATGTGTGCATTAGTTTTCTTTTTTCATACATGTATTGTGTTATCAATAATTAAGATCCTGACTGATTATGTGTTAGAATAATTAAGCCATTTTGGTTCAGAGCATATAGCCTCCCATTTCAGAGAAGGAACAGTTTGCAGAATGCATGGTATGCTTTGGTCTTAGTAATGACTCTTTAAATGTGATTCTCCCCAAACTCCTAAGTTTTAAAAAGTATATATCATAAGGCTTTAAGCTGTACTGATGACACATCTCATGGAGAAATCCTTATACTGTACCTCAGCTTGCTTACTTCCTGGCATTCACTTTCCCTGATTTGTTTATGAGATAGTGCTTATTGTTAAAGACTCCTGTCCCCCTGAAAAGGCTCAGCCTGTGTGACCTGGGATTCCTTAGTGTCTCATTCATGACTTCCTGTGTTTTTGAGGGGATTTGATTGTGGTATTGGTAGGGAATAAAAATATGAAGTGAACAAGATAAATCAAGATTTGCCCGGATATATATCTGTAATTGAAAACATACATTCAGAAGAAGTTTGCCTTTGATTATAACAAAAGTAAATTGCCATTAAGCTATTAAAAGGTACCATAGAGCTTGTTCCCTTAAACCTTTATCCCAAAGGAGAGTTGATGACAGGGGGAAAAGACAAACAGCAAAAGGATAAATGTGTATTGTAACCAGAATCTCAATATGATTTTTGTAAACTGGGTTGAAGAGGTTGTACCACATTTGTTTCTGTGCCTCCCCAGTGATGAGTTCATTGACTTAGAAGAATGAGTGAGCATCAGGGATAGAAAATAGTTTAAAAATATGTGATTGTTTTGATACCCATTGTTTTGTTGTCTTTTGTTTTTATACATCTGTTGCTTCATCTTGGTGTCATTTGCATTTCTATATTTTTGTTTCTATTTATTTTATTTTTTAATATGTTTTTCAAATTGCCAATTTATCAGCTGCAGTACATCAGAGAGTTTGTCACCAGTTAAGCAGGCTCCTCGGAAGTCCCCCTCCGACACTGAGGGTCTTGTAAAGAGTCTGCCTTCTGGATCTCACCAGGTAATGGCTGATTGCAATTCTGCCACTGCACTGTTCCCTACAGCTTTGTGCTCTGTCACTTCCCTGGGTGTGGAAAAGAATATTGAGCTATGAGAGAGAGACAGAGACAGACAGACAGGCAGAGACAGAGAGAAAGAGAAAGGGTGGGAGTAAGGAATTAAAGGTCTGGTCTAGGAAGTCCATAGGAAAATATGTGGTGAAGAATCTGCTTGAGGAAAGATTTCCATGAAACCACCAATCGTTTACTAACAATGTGGCTTCTTTGCCCCAAGCAGAATTAGGAAATGGCTTTGTCAATAAAAGATTCTTCTTTAATTGCCCAAGGAAATGAATCTAGTGAACGAGATTCTTTCTGTATTGAGGTACTCTGTGAGCTAAGAAATTAGCAGGGAAAAGTTGATATTCTTAGTATGGATAATAAAACAAGAATTATTTTCTATGGATTCTTTAGAAAAAAAATGGAAAGTAAGTATTTATCTTGATGAATAAGGAATGGTTTTGCTGTCTACTTGTAGAAAGTACAGAAGAGAAACAAGTTTTATTTGGAAGTTAGCATATAATCTAGCTTTGTGTGTTTTGGCTATACTATTTTAATTATAACTGTGGCATGGCAAAAATTCCATCGCTTAGTTCAGTTTGATTCTTCTGGGGTAGAAAGCGTGCTAAAGAATTTGACCAGTTATAGCTTTGTCCTAAAAAAGGGTTAGCTGGTGGGAATGGATTTCAGAGGAAATAAAGAGAGTAACATTGTTTTGTGGGAAAGGTACCTATAGCCTTATTCCGTAGTTGTTATATGTAGTGGGGAAACTACATTGTAATGTTAAATTACTAAAAGCACATACCCAGTTAGTGACAGAACTGGGGCTAGAACCCAGGTGTCTAGATAGCATGTTCTGTACCACAACATCAGGCTCATTACTTGTTCCTATTCTGTCTGTCTGTCTCTCTCTCAGATTACGTAATATACATCAGATACCTCAGTCTACTAATTTGGGTTGTGAATGGGAATAGGTAGGATTGTGAATGAAGACATGAAAGTTACACATAGGCATAGCATCTAAACAAGCCTTGGAACATTTTTCTAATACCCTTGAAGCACTACGGAAGTTGCTTTTTTGCTGAAAACAAACTAGAAAAAAAGAAACTGTGGTTTTCAAGATAGTGGAAGACAGATGATGCAACACTATGATCCCTGAGAGAAAGGAAACAGTCAATGTGAGCCGTATTATTGCCCCAGTATACTGGCTTGAAGCAGTTTCCACACTGCAGTGTACGTAGGGAACATGGAAATCGAGCCCAGCTGTCTCACCGAATTGAGGAGGCAGAAATCAGAATTTGGGGAGGTTAAGGGGGCTAGGATTTATGAGGCTGAGTACCAAAGAAGAAACAATAAAGTGTGCTAGGGTGAGCACCAGCACTTCAGAAATCTGGAACAGGGTCCCCTTGAATCTTTGTTGGATTACAGAGTTGTATACACATAGGAGAAAACTCGCTGAAACCAAGGGAAGAACTACCTGAAATGTGGTAGGTTGTATAATGCCTGGAGCTCACACAGATCTGGGACTAGTTTGTGTTCCTAAGAGCCAGTGTAGAGAGACTTATAATATACAAGGTATTGGTTGGCGTTCTCAAAATGGTCATACCTAAATAGGCTAAATTAGCACCAGAATAAAGGATGCTATGGACCCACCATAACAAAGCTCAAAAGGAAGGCTTTAAAGAATCAAACTAATCCAAGAGTAACTTAGTTGCATTTTACAGCAAAATCCAGCACTCTTTATACTGCAACAAAATTCGACACCAAACAATGTAAAATGTACAATGTCTGGCACCAGTCAAAAACTACCAGTCATTAAAAGAAACCGAAAAATGAAACATGTAAGCCAAGTAATAGTGGTATGTACCTGTAGTCCCAACTGCTAGAGAGCCTAAAGTGGAAAGATTGCTTGAGCCCAAGAGTGTAAGACCAGCCTGGGCAAATATAGCGAGACCCTATGTCAAATAAATGGAAAGAAAGAAGGAATAAAAGAAGGAAGGAAGGGGGGGGGAGGGAGGGAGGAAATAATAAGTAAATAAAAATAATTAAAAAATAAAAAAATCAGGAGAAATCAATCAGTAGAAACAAATCCAGAACTGACAGATGATGGGATTCGTAAACAAAGACCTTAAAATGAGTATTATATATCTTATTAGTAAACTTAAAGATGTAAAGGAAAGCTTGAACATTAAGAGGAAAGAAATACGTATCTAAAACAGACCAAAATGGAACTTCTGGACATGAAGAGCAATTGGATGGTATTAACAACAGATTAGACACTGCAAAAGAAAAGGTCAATTAACTTGAAGACATAGCAATAGAAACTATCCAAAATGAAGCACAAAGAGAAAGACAGACAGACGGTGGGGTGAAAGTGAACAGACCTTCAGTGAGCCACTGGATAATATATCAAGCAATCTAATTAGAGTCTGAGAAGAAAAAGGGAAAGAAAAAAATATATAAAGAAATAGTGAAAATTTTTATAAATTTAATGAAAAACATAAACACACAGACTTGAAAATTACTGGGCACAGTGATGCACACTTGTAATTCTAGCACTTTGGGAGGCCGAGGCGGGTGGATCACCTGAGGTCAGGAGTTCGAACCCAGCCTGGCCAACATGGCAAGACCCCATCTCTATCAAAAATACAAAAATTAGCTGGGCATGGTGTTGGGCACCTGTAATCCTAGCTACTTGGGAGGCTGAGGCAGCAGAATT